TTCATATATTTGCACAGATGGATGGAGGGCATATGGAGATTGCAACATGGTATTTAACGGACATGGAGTAGCAAACCACAACCAGAACTTCTTAAACCCGCCAAGAGAGGAAGAACGGAATTGGGTACCTGCTGGAACTTTTAATCAAGAATGTTTGGATACGAAATGGAATGGACTTGCACCTCAACCTGGATATGTACCATTTAGAAACCGTACACAAACCATCGAGAGAGCATGGAGAGACTTAAAAGAACGGCTGAAGACGACGAATAGTATGGAATACGCTGGTCAATACATTGGGGAATGGATGTATAGAAAGGATATATTGGAAAGAAATTTAAGTAGAAAAGAGAAGTTTGAGAAATTTTTAAGAGACATGAGAAGAGCCTACCCTGGAATTGGAAAGAAGCCCATGAAGAAGCGTTTTGAAGATTTACTGCTCATTTAAAGCTCATAGTAGAAACGCTTTATTGCAACGATTTGAAGTATTTTTAAGGTTAGGACGAACAGTGACCAGATGGGGTTTAACGAATATTGAATTCGAAATCAGCAACCCCAAAAACGTATAGATATGGTGATTCAGTAATACAGTAATTTTATGTTTCTTATCTATCAATATTGCTCATTAAACATAATTTTCCATGATTGCGGACGCCATATTGGAAGCGCCATGATGTTTTTTAAAATCACCAGACGGCATTCGATAGAGTTTTTAAATACGAAGCTTTTGACACGTCGAACGTCAATATTGATGCATTTTTATTCTGGGCAGCCCACTGCGCCCGTTGACGTGAAACGCCCGATATGCATATATTTTTTTTAATCATCGTAACTTTCTTGACAAAAAATATCTCCTGTCAACTGCTGATATTATTATATTTCCACAAAATCGAATAATAATGTAGATATTGCGGAAATCATCCTTCCATTTGACCTCGACTTTCTAGATAACAATTTCAAAAATTGACAAGAATTTTTTTTTTTAAATGTGGGGGCCTAAACCCCCATATATACGCCCTTATGATTGATAATGGTCAAGTTCTTGCATCCTATTATGCCCTTTCCAAGAAATTGATCATACCCAAATTAAAAAATATGTCTGGAACCAAAAAGAATCATATTCAACCCCCTGTATCTCAAAAAGTAAGCGTTATAAGAGGAAATGTTATAGGTCAAAAAATTATTCTTTTTCGATTCTGACATTTTCTGAAATTACAGCTAATACACCCTGTAAACTGAAATTTACATTGACATGATTATTTGCAACATAATTATTTATAAATTATACAAGATACTTACAGATAAAACTAATTCCCAAACGGCAGCTAAAATGGACTATAATATTAATTTTTATTTACTACTAACTTATGGTACACACCCCTAAAATTTCAGATTTTTAAATTAATTTTTGACGGAGTTATGCCCAGACGCCCAGGACCTATCGTAAATCGTATATCGCTTCAACTAGGGGCCGTTGTTTATATTGTGCTCTTAAAAGTATTCGGTTAAGAATGGTTTATTGTTTGAATTTATTCGCAAATTTTTGTTTGTGATTAGTGAGATAAGTTTTTGGAAACAGTGGAATTTATTGAAGGCATAAATTATTTGCTTCCTTATCTCAGGCAAGAAGCATATCAGCTTGTTTTTGCGGTTCCTAAAATCTTTCTTTCGCCATGTCTAAGTGTGCAGTTTGTAAACAATCCAACAGACAGGGTGGTCCTATTACAAATTGTGATGGCTGTAAATCTGAAGTTCATTTGTCATGCCCTGGACTGACTTCTGATGAATTGACAAATTGCAGACTGATATTAATGTTTTAAAAGGCAACAAATTTGAATCTGATCCTCGTAATGAGTATGAAGATTTTATTTATGAATTAGCCGAGAGATAGAAACGAAAAAAAATCTTATGATTTTTAAATTACCGGAACAGCAACACAGGAATAAAGAAGAACGTATGAATGCTGATAAAAATTTTGTTGTCGATTTAGTGAAAACTGTTAATGATTCAATAAATGTTATTAAGGTGGTTCGAATTGGTAAATTTAATCAGAATATCAACCGACCATTAAAGGCGATACTGGAGTCAGAGGATGACGTAATGCAAATTTTGAGGAAAACCAAGGAATTGAGGAGATCAGATGCTTCCCAAGGAATTGGAATATCTCAGGATCGGACTCCGAAACAAGTCGAATACTATCGCAAAATTAAAAAAGCGTTCGATGAAAGGGTTCGGAATGGCGAAAAAAATATTAAAATAACTTATGCTCACGGAATCCCTAAAATATCCAATTTAAACTAGTAATCCAACCCATTTACCGAGAGTTAGAATGTTACTACTACAATGCTCGAGATGTTAATACAAAAACGGTTGAATTCTATAATGCAGTCTTAGCAAATGATTTCGATATTATAGGCGTTACTGAAACATGGTTGACAAATAATGTCAGTGAATATGAGCTATTTCCGCAGACATACTCTGTGTTTCGGAGTGACCGGAATTTAAGTGCTACAGGACTCACTACTGGAGGTGGTGTACTACTAAATGTTGGTGACTTAAGAAATGTTTTTCCAAATATTGATCTTGTATGTTGTAGTGTAGTATTTGCTAATGTAACATTATTTGTACTTGCTGTATATATTCCTCCAACTGTAACAGCGCAAGAATATGAACAGTTCTTTGATGCACTGGAATCACTCAACTGCCTCTCTTTAGATAGTAAATTTTTGATTTTAGATAATTTTAATGCTCCTTTTTTCCATAGTACTAGTAATGACCACAATTCTAGAGTGATAAGCGATTTTATGCAGTTTGTTAACGGTAGGCAATACAATCTTATAATCAATCAACAAGATAGGCTTTTAGATTTAGTTGTAGCCAATTTTCCTTGTTTAGTGAGTAAAGATACATGTCCCTTCACTAAAGAGGACTCGGTCTATCATCCAGCTCTCAATATCTCTTTACAGCTACATATTGTGGACAGTAAGAATTTTCTCTATTTAATTCGAATGATGGTACTTACAACTTTCAGCGTGCTGATTATCCATTAGGTACTGTATAATATGTTACAACAAGTTGACTGGAGTCCGATTAAGGAGTGCAGAAACGTTAACGAAGCTTGTGATAAGTTTTATGCTATATTTTATAAAATATTCGATGCATGAGTTCCTATTTACAATAAATCGTTTAAGAATTCTAGCAGAAGCTATCCTCCCGGGTTTAACAAAGATATTATAAATAATATAAGGTTAAAAGATTTAGCTCGTAAAAATTATAAAAGGTATAGGTTTGGTTGCTACTTACAAAGATTTAGAAATCTTAGAGCCCTAATTAAGACACAAATTAAAACATCTTACGCTGCATACATTAGTCAGGTAGAGCGTAACGTCTTATTGAACCCAAGTCAATTTTGGGGTTTTATAAATAATAAAAATAAAAGATCTAGAATTCCCGGTATTATGCAATTAAATGGTATAACATATGCAACATCTCAATCTATCGTTAACGCTTTCTCTCAATTTTTTTCTAGCGTGTACTTGACACCGAACAATATAACTTCTGATAGTGATGCAGTATTGTCTAATTTGCATATAATTATAAATACTATATCTGAAAATGATATTATTATTGCCTCTAAAAAACTTTAAAATAAGATGACTGCTGGTGTAGATAAAATTCCAAGTTTTGTCGTTAAGGACTGTATTTATGCATTGATTGATGACAAGTGGTGTAGGGGTACACACCACTTGTTTAATTTAATTTTGTCGACGGGAATATGTCCCGATAGATGGAAAGCAGCTAAAATTTGTCCTGTACATAAGTCCGGAGATCACGCATTTATTGACAATTATAGACCAATATTCATTTTGTGTAACTTTGGAAAATTATTTGAAATTATTATTTATGAAATTCTATATAATTCAGTAAAATCCCTAATTTCACCATTCCAACACGGGTTTATGTCAAATAGATCGACTGTAACTAATTTGACCAGTATAACTCAATATATCTGCAGCTCTCTCGATTCTGCTGGCCAGGTGGATGTCATATACACTGACATAAAAAAAGCCTTTGATAGAATTGATCATTATCGCCTATTATCAAAGCTTAAATCGATAGGCTTTTCAACTTCATTATTAAAACTAATGGAGTCGTATTTATTAAATAGAAGTCAGTTTGTAGAATATGGTGGTGTAAAATCTGAAACTTACATATCTACCTCAGGAGTTCCCCAGGGATCCTATTTGGGACCCTTGCTTTTCCTTTTATTTATAAATGATATCTCAGATAAATTGTCAGTACCACATTTACTTTTTGCCGATGAGTTAAAAATTTATTTAGAGATCAATACCGTTCAGGATTGCGAGTTATTGCAGAATGCACTTGATGTAGTGCATAATTGGTGTTCAGGTAATAATCTTCAGCTTAATTTGAATAAATGTCAGGTTGTTTTCTTTCATATGAAACTTACCCCTACACTATTTAATTACACATTGGATGGTAGTAACTATTATAGAGAGGTGTGATACTTTTAAAGATTTATGTGTGCTATTTGACACGGAATTATCCTTTAACAACCACATATTAAAGACTGTTTCTTCTGCTTACAGCGTACTGGGATATTTTACCAGAAATTGGGGTAATTTCTCAGATATAAATACGCGTAAAATTTTATACACAACATTTATCAGGAGTAAGCTTGAGTACGCGTCAATTATATGGTCTCCATTATACCGTAATTCTATCCAACATTTAGAGTCTGTTCAACGCAAGTTTTTAAAATATGTATACCTCAGATGCTATGGCTACTATCCCCCAACAGGGTTTGATCACGGGACTTTACTTAAATCGTTTAACCTTCCATCATTGTTATATAGAAGGGATTGTGCAGCTCTAATATTCTTGTGCAAGCTTTTTAAAAATACAGTTGACTGTAATTGTTTGTTGCATCAATTTGCGCTATTGGTGCCAAGAGAGCAATCCAGAAATCGATGTACTTTCTATTGTAAAACTCCTAAAACTAATATGCTAACTAAATCGCCTGTCTATAAAATGTCGCAATTATTTAATAAGATATCTGATCGATGTGACATTAATTTCGACAATATAAGCACTATTGTTGATATTTTTGCATCTGTTGCACAATAATGTAAATATGTAATTGCACTGGTTTATATTTATTGTTCTTCTGGAATAGATAGAATAAATTATTTTAGGGCCGCTTATTTATTTATTTATTGTTCTTTGTACCATTACATAATGTTATACTATTATATTATTTCGTTTTCGATTTTTATATATTTTCTCTGTAATTGGGTTAATCCGTTGAGAATAAAGTGTATATTATTATTATTATTATTGTTATTGTTGTTATTGTTATTGTTGTTGTTATTGTTGTTGTTATTGCTGTTGTTATTGCTGTTGTTGGTGGTTGTTGGTGGTGTTGTTGGTGGTGTTGTTGGTGGTGTTGTTGGTGGTGTTGTTGGTGGTGTTGTTGGTGGTGTTGTTGGTGGTGTTGTTGGTGGTGTTGTTGGTGGTGTTGTTGGTGGTGTTGTTGGTGGTGTTGTTGGTGGTGTTGTTGGTGGTGTTGTTGGTGGTGTTGTTGGTGGTGTTGTTGGTGGTGTTGTTGGTGGTGTTGTTGGTGGTGTTGTTGGTGGTGTTGTTGGTGGTGTTGTTGGTGGTGTTGTTGGTGGTGTTGTTGGTGGTGTTGTTGGTGGTGTTGTTGGTGGTGTTGTTGGTGGTGTTGTTGGTGGTGTTGTTGGTGGTGTTGTTGGTGGTGTTGTTGGTGGTGTTGTTGGTGGTGTTGTTGGTGGTGTTGTTGGTGGTGTTGTTGGTGGTGTTGTTGGTGGTGTTGTTGGTGGTGTTGTTGGTGGTGTTGTTGGTGGTGTTGTTGGTGGTGTTGTTGGTGGTGTTGTTGGTGGTGTTGTTGGTGGTGTTGTTGGTGGTGTTGTTGGTGGTGTTGTTGGTGGTGTTGTTGNATTATCATTATCATTATCATTATTATTATCATTATCATTATCATTATCATTATCATTATCATTATCTATAGTCATCGAAAAAATGACAAAGTCCATAGGAGGGTGGATTTTGGTTTTTGTGGAAATTCGGCAATTGTCTCCGGGGGTAGTTTCTCGCATAGAATCCGAAAATCCCAAAATAAATAAGGTATGTCTAAAAAAACACTCCTCACCCCCTCCGCATCCCCTAGGGTGGAAGGGGTGAGTTGAAACTACGTCCGTTCTTAGGTCTCCCCATCTATAGTACACCCCTAAAATTTCAGATTTTTGTATTCATTTTTGACGGAGTTATGCCCAGATGCCCAGGAACTATAATCATGGAAAAAACGACAAAGTCCATAGCCGGGTGGATTTTGGGTTTTGTGGAAATTCGGCAAGAACGCGTCTCTGAGGGTAGTTTTTCGCGTAGAATCCGAAAATTGCAAAATAAATAGGGCATGTTTAAAAAAACCACGCCTCACCCCCTCCGCACCCCCTAAGGTGGAAGGGGTGAGTTGAAACTACGTCCGCTCTTAGGTCTCCCCATCTGTAGTACACCCCTAAAATTTCTGATTTTTATATTCATTTTTGACGGAGTTATGCCCAGATGTCCAGGACCCATAGTCATCGAAAAAACGACAAAGTCCATAGGAGGGTGGATTTTGGGTTTTGTGGAAATTCGGCTAGAACCCGTCTCCGGGGGTAGTTTTTCGCGTATAATCCGAAAATCGCAAAATAAATGCGGTACGTCTAAAGAAAACCACCCCCCACTCCCTCCGCTTCCCCTATGGTGGAACGGGTGAGGTGAAACTACGTCCGCTCTTAGATCTCCCCATCTATAGTACACCCCTAAGATTTCAGATTTTTATATTCATTTTTGACGGAGATATAACCTCAGTTTTCTGTTTTGGTTTGAAAATAGCTGTCAGATGTTATCCACCAATTGTCATCTTCCTTAACGTCGTACCAACAGGTTAATCTAAAATACCCCTAGAGAACTGAGAAAGGAATTGGTCGAATGGTCGGAAATTTTCCCTCTTTTTTTCGATAGATATTTCGAGCCACGTTTTGTGCCGTACGCAAATTGCGGATTTTTCGAAGAAATATCTGGGCAAAATAAATGTTTTTGATATTTTTCTAAGCCTTAGTAGTTGGATTTTAATGCCCATATCGAAGAACTGAGAAATTTTCACTTTAAGGCCAATCAACAACCTAGGTATGTAGTGAGGTTAGGAACAACATGTGGTCACATTCTCACTTTGAATTGCAGATATGTTGAACATTTATTTCTTCTTTTTCAGGCCTTTTTCTTTTTTTCCCTCCTTTTCTTTTTTGTATTTTTCCCCTTTGGTCTCATCTTGTTTGGTACCCGTTTAATGGCATTGGTTACTCGACACCACCTATCGAGTTAAAGCTGCCGTAGGCTGCCACAACACACTGAAGCCTCACTATACTATATCGTACTTCAGCAAGTTGAACCTCTCGCTTGCTCACTGTTGATTTTGCTGCACCCTACCGTCTTTCTGGAAGTAGTATTTAGTGCCGGAACTGCTATTACCTGACATACCCAGGCGGAGTTATATCACCCCGTGACAACTTGACCTGAAGCGGTTCAACAGAATAACCTACGCACTCATTTCAGATAAGCCTAATATTAGTTTAATATATTATTTGTAGCTTTTAAGTAAGTTTTGCACTTCGTAGATGTAAAAGTTTCACTTTTGCATCATTAGTCACCATTATTTATTATCTGATTTTTATTTACTGTTTTTAAATTTCATCCATACGTGCCTGGACGTACCTAAAATAAGGAACTTTGGTAATAATTTGTTTTTTTGTCACGCCTTTTACAAGTGCTATATACAATCCATCGAACATATAAATTTTTACTACCTGTGTAAACCTCTGGTACAGCGCTATAGTAAAGGGAAATCTTTTTTTTTAACTTGGCTTTTCACAATTTGCCAGATTTGTACATATTTGTTTTGTTTATATCTGATTTATTTTCTGACATGACGTTTAACCTATAAGACCCAAAGCAATACTGGTTACCAGATAGTAGGCACGAATTGTACTCTAGCCATGGAACTTTATCGACGTTGACCGGCTCGACGTTTGGTGCGTTCCGCAAACTATAATAAAGTGATCCGATCACATGTATACTCTCTATTTAGTGGACCTGCCTTTTTCCCGTTTTTTTGTTTTATAGGTGTATTAATATTGAAGGCACCGTAGCGAATAAAAACCATCGTATTGGGTAAACTTAACATCCGGGGTTGCAAAAACGCATAATATTCTTTTAGCTGTAGACCCACTCCATCTCCACTGAAGCTAGCGGCCAACCCCTTTTGTGAAATATATTTGCTACTCTCGTTCCACCGACCCACCTGAAATACAAAAACATACCCACACTTTTTTGCTAGATTTACATTTATTTAGTTTATTTAAATTTTTTGTTTAAAGCTATGCCTTTTATATTTTTATTATTTTTTTAACCCACCGTTTTGTGTCTGTTATTTTTTGTTTTTTTCTAGCAATGTTTTAACGTTTTATAATTTATTATGTAAAATATTTATAGTATTTCAATTTATTATTCAATATGCAGCTGCGTATAACCAAAGTTTACATAATAAATGTAAACTTTAGTGTAAATATAAACTTTGGTGTAACCTAGGTAGTACTTATTGTTTTTGAGAAAGTAATATGTTTTTTGCCTGTTTAAAATGCCAGCACGAGTAAAACAGCGTTCATCCGTCCAGCGCACTTTGTTTTAAAAATAAAAATAAAGTTAGGGTCTCCTGCACTTCGATTTAGGAACCAACTGCAAAATTCAAGGCGATTGGAGAAATCAGCTGGTTCTAAAGCTTGAACATTTTGAAAATGGTACGGGTTGAGTGAATTCTCGCGCAATATCCGCCAAACTTTGGTTTGTGATATCTTCAGTCGCCTTGAAATTGTTCTTGTGGAGATAGTAGGCTCCTCCTCGACTAAATTTAAAACAACCTCTATCACATTTAAGTCATTATGTCGATGTCCTGCACGTTCGTTGCGGGTTTGGTATGATGATGCAATTGGAAAAATGCGGGTGGTAGATTTGAATAAACGTTTTAAATTGTTAATGGTTTTGTAACCGTGTGTAGTGTATTTTGTATATTCGGGTATTTAGTAGTGTTCCGATTTTTTTTTTATTTAATAAAATACTTTGTGCCTACAAACAGGTAACTACCCCTGCTTTATTTATTTTCTTTTAACGAAAGTTGACCTCGAGAAGTTAGGCTTGTTAAAACATTCTGCACTAAGTTAATACAATTGTTAAAATTATTTATAATAAAATTTATTTACTTGCATACGTTTAACGCGGAACGCGGAGCCCACTGTAAATGTGAACCACACATTATGATGTGAACTTGGCAACGCTGTTCGCTTCGAGCTGACAACTGTTCGTGACATTACGTTACAAAATTTTCCGAGCATCCCGGCATCTGCCAGGGCCGCCCTCGTAGCGGGAGTTATGGGTTGATTTCCTTCATTTTTAAAAGTCAAGTAAAAAAATTCTTTTTCCGATTTTCTGTCTTTATTAAGCTTTCCAAATACGTGGTTAAAATTAATGACTTTATGACTGAATCACCCTGTATATGAGCAATACAAAATTCTCGAATTGAATCGCGTCTAAGATTGTTTAAGTCTCGATGTTTCGGCTCCCGTTTTGGAACCATTTTCAAGAGTTTAGAATTAGTTAAATTTGGAAGGAAAAGAATGGGAAGGAACAAATTCAATACAAACGACTACAAACCAAGTATTCCATATTCTATTAAACAAAGAGATAAAAAAGTTATCTGTTTAATGAGAACAATGAGAATATTATAACTGAGTTCGTTGACCTGTGATCCAAAATGTATAACATCAAATGCGGTGAAATCTATAAAATGAAAAAATCAGAGAGCTATAAAATTTGAAGATTAAGTATATCAAATATTTAGGGGAATTTAAAGAGTGTACAAATGATTAATTAATTACATCTTATTTGCATGAAATTTATTCTATACAGCAAATTAAAATCGTGTCAAGTCCATTGATGACAAATGTTAAGAGACGATAATACGGATACTTTGTAGTATGGTCATTATTTTACAATTTAATTGGTTTGTTAGTATTAGAAAGTATACAAGGTGTCCCACGGTGACGAGATATTGTACTACTACTATTTTCAGAGACTACTTCGTTTTTAATTTTGAAGATTTGGGCAATAGTGTTTTCGGGCATGCCTTTCTCAATTAAAATAATGGCGTCTACCTAATAACGATTCCGGTTATACCGGAAGTTGACATCATCTTTGTTATTTTAAATGGAACACCCTGTATATTATTGCAATTTTGGATTCTACGTCAATTTTTAGGTGAACTTTCATAAAGGTTTCCTATTCTTAAAGTTAACCGTTTTTAATATAATTAAAAAAAAAAAATTAAAAAGCACTGGCTAATTCAAAAAGATGTGTATTTTACTATAATAAAGTTACGATAAAACTGATAGGGGATATAACTAAAACTCTAAGCTTGCCATAATTTCAAAATAACTTAATTTCATACAGGGTGGTAGAAATTTAATGTCGAATTTAGTCAACTTTAAACCATCTTAACTTTTTTTTTTAAATGAAAGACCCTGTATATTTTTGTGCAACCTGATGAACAATTTTGTTTTCTTTCGAATACCTATCTCCTCTGGTTTTTAAGATAATCAGCCCTATGCTGTATGAACGTTGACTTCATATCAATGTTGAAATTATATTAAAAAATGACATTTAGACAGACATTTTAATAAAAATGGAGGTTTACTATGCTGTAAAAAACAAATTGATTGAAATTTGTCAAGAGTTTGAAATGGCGTCAAGTAACCTTGAAAACTTCAAAACTTGGTATGCACTAAAGCAGAAATTGATATAAAACTGCAGATCAAGGTTGACAAATGTCAAGAATTGTAACGGAAATCGAAA